GAAACTGGCAAAAAACAGAAAACCTCAGTCACAAGACCATGTGGGATGTTGTAACTGGTCATAAGTGTGTGTGTCTGTGTCTGTGTCTGTGTCTCTGTGTGTGTGTGTGTGTGTGTGTCTGTGTGTCTGTGTGTATGGCTGTCAAAACACCAAAAACAGCCCAAGTAGCTCTGTGGAGGTCAGTCGTAAATTAGAACACTTGCTAAGTAACTGGCCATTAAGCAAGGACCGGGTCATTAAGCAAGGACCACTCACATTTGGTTTGCCAGTCACATGACCACCTGGCCACGCCCACTCCAGTCACATGACCACCTAATCATGCCCAGTCAGCAAGCCACTCCCACCCCAGTCGCATGACCACCAAGCCACACCCACAAATTAGGCCATGCCCACAGAACCAGTTGTTAAGAAATTTGAATCCAATCCCTGCCACTTAGTAATCTTAAATAACTCAGATCATCCTTCCTTTCGTTATCACAATTGTCTATAAGTATTTGCAAATTTAGAGTTTCTTTATTCAAGTCCTTTACTCTGGTCTTTCAAAGTATCAAATGTCCTTCTCTGAAGCTTACGCTCTTAACTATTCTTTCGTTCTCCCTGTTCCAATTAAACACCACCACTTCTTTCTCTTTTTTTCCACAGCTCTCAAACAAACAAACATGGCCACGTACCATGGCCATGCCCCACTCAGCTACCAGGCACAGAACCCCTTGCTAAAATTTTTGAAGCCCACCCCTGCCTGTCAACCACCTCCAGCGGTGAGTTTGGTGCTTTTGAAATTATATTGCTTTTTGTATTTTGATCTTTTGGTTCCTCAAAAGACAACATATGTTATTGGAACTCTATCTTTCTCCACACATACTTTGAAAGAAGTATCTCTCCACACATATTTTAGCAGTAGCAGAGACTATCTCAAAGCAGAAGACAAAGCCATGGTGGGAGTACCCTGAGTGGTTTTTGAAAAGAAGGTTTGTGACAACCCTAAAATTAGACCAGAACAAGAAAGTAGCTCCATAGAAAGACTATAATTATACTATAATACTGTATATTATACTATAATTGAGGTAGGTGATAATAACAGAATCTTGCCATTCTACTTTTGTTTATCTTCTCTCCCTCTTATCTCATTAAACCAGCCTGAACCGCTTCTAATACTATGCTCTTTGCCGAGGCCTAAGGCATGTTGTTTGACCCCAAATATTTCTCCTGAATATTTCCTTCAAGGCAATCTCCATGGATCTCTGCCTTCAGCTTTACATCCTGCAGGCTTAAAATCCTCTACAAATTATTTGCTGTAACTTTTGTAAATTATAGAGGAGGAATATTTTCGAGATTCTCTAGTGATAGAGATATTTCTAGCAATAAAAATATTTCAAGAAATCTAAGTGGTTCTTGTTTCCTGACTCTTCCAGGCTCCTGCAGCTTGACTTGTTTTATTTATTTATTTGATTTGTCAGTCACTTACAAGATAATAGGTATAAGTATAAACATAGTTATGAATACATGAAATGGATACATATAAGAAGAATAAAAGAAACAATAGGACAGGGACGGTAGGCACGTTGGTGCGCTTATGCACACCCCCTACATACCTCTTAGGAAAGGGATGAGGTCAATAGTAGACAGTCTAAGGTTAAAGTTTTTGGGTTTGGGGGAAGAAACCACTTTAATCTTAAAGCCTACCACAGTAACTCTTCCATACAATTATACCTGATGTAATTACCAGAGTTACTCAGATAACAGATAATCAGAATTGGAAGGGGCCTTGTAGGTCATCTAGTCCAGGGGTCGCCAACCTTTTGGACCTCAGGGACCACCAAATTCATAATTTTAGATCCCAGGGGCCAATAATGTGTTCTGTGGGCCAAATTTGTGGGCATGCCTTGGTGGGCATGTGACTGGGTGGGCATGACTTGTATATTTATATAAATATTGAATTTTTTTTATTAAAAAAGAGCATCTTATACATAAAAATCAGGCAAAGCAGGCAGGCAGATTGAGTTACTCACAGAATCATAGATTCATTGAGAGATCTATCTATCTGCCATTGCCTAGCTCAGTCTGTCACATAAAATTTGCTTGCAAGCAAACTCACAAAATTAACATGCAACATACCATACATGTAAATATTGATTTTTTTATTTAAATTAGAGCTACTTTTACCAAAATCAGGTAAAGTAGACAGATTGAGTTGCTCACAGAATCATTCAGTGATCTATCTATCTGCCAAATTCAATCTGCACTGAATTTGCTTGCAAGCAAACTTTCAGTCCTAAGGGAGGTTCGGCTGTGCTGAGCCGAAGATCTAAAGACTAGCTAGAAAGCAAGAAATCCAACCATTTCCTGCTTCCTAGCTAATCTAAATCTCTCAGCACAGCAGAACAGATGATGGTCAGAAAAAGGAAAAATAGCAATTTAGCAGGCAAGTTTACCGGGTAAGGAGTTAGTGGGCGGGGAGGGTTCCCGCTGGACATATGGGCAGTGCAGCCTTGTGTTTCTGCACAGCCTGGATTAATTGCTTTGTGGGGGTGCTATGGGGGTGAGATTTCTCTGCGGCCCACCAAAATTTTCTCACGGCCCACCAATGGACCACAGCCCATCGGTTGGCAACCGCTGATCTAGTCCAACCCCCCGCCCAAGCAGGAGATCCTACACCATTTCTGATAAATGGCAATCCAATCTCTTCCTGAATGTCTCAAGTGATGATGCTCCCACAACTTCCGAGGACAAGCTGTTCCATTGGTTGATTGTTCTCCCTGTCAGAAAGTTTCTCCTTATTTCCAGGCTAAATCTCTCCTTGTTCAGTTTCCATCCATTATTCCTTGTCTGGCCTACCGGAGCTTTAGAAAATAGCTTGACCCCTTCCTCTCTGTGGCAGCCCCTCAAATATTGGAAGACTGCTATCATGTCTCCCTTGGTCCTTCTCTTCATGAGACGAGCCATGCCTGGTTCCTGCAACCGTTCATTGTATGTTTTAGTCTCCAGTCCCCTAATCATTCTGGTTGCTCTTCTCTGTACTTGTTCTAGAGTCTCAACATCTTTTTGATAATGTGGTGACCAAAACTGGATGCAGTACTCTAGGTATGGTCTTACTAAGGCTTTATAGAGTGGTATTAGTACCTCCCTTGATCTTGATTGTATCCTTCTGTTAATACAACTTATGACTGTGTTAACTTTTTTGGCTGCTGCTGCACACTGCTGGCTCATATTTAGCTGGTTGTCCACTAAGACTCCAAGATCCCTCTCATAGTTCCTGCTCTTGAGCCTGATTTCACCCAATCTATATGTGTACTTTTGTTTTTCTTGCCTAAGTGTAGGACTTTACTTTTCTCTACATTGAATTTCATTTTGTTAGATACAACCCAGTGTTTTGGTCTGTCAAGATCCATCTGGATCTTGAGCCTATCTTCTGGAGTGTTAGCTATTCCTGCCAGCTTAGTATCATCTGCAAATTTGGTAAGTTCCTGTTCTATTCCCTCATCTAAGTCGTTAATGGAGATATTGAAGAGTACTGGATCTAAGACGGAACCTTGTGGCACCCCACTGCTTAATTCCCTCCATGTAGACTTAAACCCATTAAGGACTACTCGTTGAGTATGGTTTATCAGCCAGTTGCGAGTCCATCTAGTGGTGGTGTTACCTATTCCACTTTTTTCTTGCTTACTAAGAAGTAGGTTGTGGTCTCCTTTGTCTTTTTCACACACTTTCTCCTACCTCTGCAAGAGTCCTATTTTGCTCCTTGGTTTGCTAGTTTCTCCTTTACCGTTCATGAAACAGAGGCAGTTTTCAGTCTTTTACATTATCCAGATATTGCACACATAATGCATTGCAGAGGAAGGAATTTCCGTGGAATTAGCTCCTTCATAGACCCAGGGAGCTGAATTAATAAGGCAATACTGATATTATTTAACAAAAATTGGAGCCAAGGTCTATGTTTCACATTTCCCTTTCATTAAATCTCATAATAAAATATCCAGAAAACACAAGAAGAGATTTCCTTGATTAGAATAAAGACAATATTTATTGCTGATTGGATTTCTTTTAAAAATCTTTAATACATTTATAAATAAAAAAGTTAAAAAAGAAGAGGCAAAGGCAAAGAAGACAAAGAAAAAGAAGAAAGAGAGAAATTAAAATTAAGACTCAAATTAATACAGTTAGGATGTCCATTACATTTATATTTGTTTTCCTTCTGCAAAGGTCAGCTTTCCACAGAAAAACTGTTACTTACATTTGACACATTTAGGTTTAGTAAAATTTATTTCCTGTGTTGAGATTAAAACTTTGTACAATAGTTTTTGCTTAAGTACAGTAATAGGGATCAGCAACTGGATTACTAAGTGACACAGTTGTAAATGTGTCGTTATGAAGGTATGTTGACTTGTGATAGCAGTTGCAGAGATTCTGGTTGCCACTGTAAAATGAATTCTGCTCAATTGTTATGTGCAACATCACTTGATCATTATTTGTAATTATCTGGTGGCTTCCCTTCTTTTCCCTCTATCTGTGTTGGTGAATAGGTGTGAATTTCCTGTTACTAGCAATCATTCAGATTGACAACAGGCAGTCAATTAATTTTCTGTTAGGATTTATGATTAAGATTTCAGTGAACAATACATAATTACATTTCAAATTGATTTCAGTATATAATAATATACATAAACACACATAAATCTTTCTCTCTGTCTCTCTCTCTCTCTCTCTCTCTCTCTCTCTCTCTGTGTGTGTGTGTGTGAATAAACACACACAAACATATATGTACGCTCGAAGAATTAGTGTGAAGTTGATTTCTATATAGCAAAAGATCACAATTTAGATTTCTTTCTATCATGTATCAAGTTGTCTTATATTTCTAAAATATTTTGTCATCAATATGAATAAAAGTGACTGTGCTATCAGCAGGTTTAAGCAATGCAGTATAGCCATTTATACCTTAGAAATTTATACAAATTTTGCCAGAAGACTCTTGAAATAATTTATATTCCCCTTTCATATAGAGATTACATAAAAATCATACATTTATTACAAGTAAATAGAATGCCTTGTTTCTGAGAATAGAATCATCTAAGAATGATAGCTGTTAGCTTCTTTTCCTGGATCTTCATGCCTTGCAGTAATGATCATAGTTTATCAGTTTTCCCACTTTGGTTCCTTCTAAGCGCTCTTTAAATACTGTGTCCATCTCCTTGTTGTTCGCTTCACTAAAAAGTGTTTTCCAGTCACTTACTCCACCTGTAAGTGCCAATTCCAATTATTTTCCTTTTCTTATATGAAAACCACACATCTTGTAATGTCAATAAGAATTTGCCTAAAGCCTGCAATACTACTGAATACTCAGAGAAATAAATAATAATTATATGTTTTACAAATCCTCTTTTCAAATGCCATATCTGCATTTCTGGGTATATTTCCCTCCATCCATCACTGCATTTCATATATAGCTGCACAGCTCAGACACATAGTCCATTACAAATATATACCACTGATTTATAATCTGATGGAAATGGATGCTTGTTTGTATTTATTATTTTTTTTGTGAATGTTTTAATGTTTTTAAGTTGTTTTACTTATAGTTTTACAAATGGTTAAATCACTAATTAATCTTTAACTACACGTAGGTTGAGTTTGGAAACTATAGAAATTGAATGGATGAATGAATGAAAGAATGAATGAATGAATGGAGGGATGGATTAAAGAATGAATGAATGAATGAGAATGTTTATATATAGTAATTATATATCAATTAGCCAGAGCAGCAGGTTAAAATAGATACAACAAATGTTATTTAAAAAATAATTTTTAATCTTTGGCACCTTCTTGTAGTTAAATAATATAAAGAGTAATTATCCAGTGTTACTCAGGAATGCAATAAGCATTGTATAACTATTATTTCTGTCTTCCTCTTTAAAAAATGAACAATCATGGACATAGGATTCTTGAGGTTGGAAGTTTACTCATCATCAAATCATTACAGACATATTAAACTCTAGCATGGCTAACGAGATTTATAATGATAATGCTTCTCACATTTTGTGCCCACTTCCATTTAAAAATATTTCTATATTGTAAACAAAGCATAGTTCTCCAAGTTAATCGATTTGATCCTGAATTTTGTGATGGCTGCTGAATACTTGATTCTTTTTTAAAAAAAATGAAAATGCTCAAAAGCAAATTAGTTAGAATTTCATATGATTTTCCCAGTCTATGGAATGGGGATGAATAATTAACTCTCACTAAAATGATATCATATTTACCAGTTACCTCAATGACGTAACAAGTGCAACATTATGGATTTTCAAAAGTTACCTTTCCGGAAAAGAGCTTCACCAGCTTCTCCATGAGTTGTTTTAGATTTTTCTTTCATCACTTTGAATGTGCTCCTTTCTGCAACACCCTGAAAGTCTTCCTCATTTAAGTTCAATTCAAAAAATGTGGAAATCTTTTTGGCTCCTAAAGCTGAGTTCTGAAAAAGAGATCATTTTTTTTTTAGTATTTATTTGATTTGTCAATCGCTTACAAGATACAGATATAAGAATAAATATAGTTTTGAATACATGAGATAGATACTTATAAGAAAAATAAAAACCAACATTAGAGGGACGGTAGGCACGATTGGTGCACTTATGCATGCCCCCTATATCGAGTTATGTAGTCCATATGTTTTTGCAGTGTAAGAGTTGCAGATTACAGGATAGTTTGTTTTCTGAAACCAATTTTTTTATTAGAGAGTAGGTTGTTTGTCTCTAAGTGGAGGATAATGGATTGATTAATAATTGACTTTACAGTTGATGCAGCAGGAAGAGATTGGTCTGTAATTTTCAACTAGGCTGGGGTCTCCCTTTTTGAAGATGGGAATGACCGTGGCTAGTGACCATAGGTTTGGCAAGGAGCTGGTCCTGAAAGATTTTTCAAAGGGATGGTTTTAGATTGCACAGTGCTTTTTCAACAATGTCTTCTGTAAAATCAATATGTATTAGATCACTGTAGTTGTCTGAGTTCGACTAGAAAGTACTGGCATTGATCCATTGCTGTTTACAAATACTGAGCCAAGAATGTGTTAAAGAGGTTTGCTTTGATAGTGTCATTCGTTGCAGTCTTGGCCATTAGTTCCTTTCAGGGGTGGGATGAACCTTGAGTCTTTTAGTTTGCTGTTTACAAAATTGTACAAAGCACGGGTGGAATTGGTACGTAGAAGGTTTTCCTCTTGTTTAATGTGATAATTGGTGCATTCAGTCTTTATCTGGTGGCATAATTTTTTGTATCGGCTTCTGAAGTTGGCAACGTGACCAGATTTGTTTTTTCGCCAAAATGATCTCTTTTTGAATTAAAGCTTCCTTATTGTTATGGGTAATCTGTTTTTTCTGATTTTTGGAGTTGTTATTGATACATATAGTTTGATGACTCTTTTAACTTCAAGTGAAAATATGTTGTTATGGTCTTCAACAGTATTGCATACAGTGAATAGAGATTGCCAATCAAGGGAAGAGAGATCATTGATTATAAGATCATAGCTGCCTTTTTTGAAGTTATAATTGGAGATTTTGTCATTGTGATGATTTTTGTGTGGAGATAGGTTGAGACAAAAGTCAATCATGTTGTGGTCACTGTTGGAAAAGGGTTCTTTAATTTGTATTCCATAAATTGAATTCAAACTATTGCAGAAGATGAGTTTGAGGCAGTTGTTAAGTCTAGTATTGTTGGTTACTAGTTGTTCCAGTCCCAGATTTGTTACAGCATTATAGAAGGTTGCATGCATGGGTTCAGTTTGTTTAGGGTCCAGTTAATATGAGGTAGATTTAAGTCACCAAGAAAGATAAAAGCATGTGGGCAGGATGCTGCCCATGTTAGTTGTGTATTTAGCTTGTTTATATGTTCAATGTCATAATCAGGGGCTCTGTAACATAGTAAGAACCGAAATGTGATATTTAAGGTCAGTTCACAGATAATGGTCTCAGGAAGAGCAAGCTCTTGTGTAACTTGGATGTTTTTTAGATGTAAGGACTTTTTATAGAAGATAGCAATACCACCTCCTCTACGGATTTCTCGATCGAATCGGGAAACTGAGGTAATGGAGTCAGGTAATTTGTACTGCTGGTGAAAAAAAATCATTTATTTAATATCCCATTTCTAAGAAAGATATCTGACCAACTTTGGGAAGAGAATGATGCAATATATTTGCATCACTTTCATGTCTAAGGTTCCCTCTGGTTTTCTCATCCTAAATGCTACAGCTACACTCGCATGGTTTCTGGTACAATCAGAACGTTCTACATGAATATATAAGTATATGTATAAACACACACAAATTATAGGGAGCAAATATAATTTCCCCAAGCTCAGTTTGATCTCACTTCATTGTGATGGACATTGCTTTATGCTGTGGTTGGCTGGTTGGCACTGTTATCTCTACTTGTTCCCCAGAGCAACAATATTTATTTGGGAAAAAGTATCAATAAGTAAACACTGCTTATTCCTTATTTCCTTAACTAAAAATCATATGTGCTGCATGATGGAGGATCATGGGTTTGAAACTCCCATCTTTCTTTTTCCAAGACTTTCTATTCTTGCTGTTTATGACTATTAGAATCGGTATATCTGAACAGTATTAACTGTACCTCTTTTATTTCTTCATATGTTATTGGCAGGACATTTTCATTATCAATATACTTGTTCCATGTGCAAAGATACTCTATATAGGATCCCCACGGCACTATTGAAATTTTTTAAAAAATTAAGATTACGTCAGAACAAGATTGATAACAGACATAAATATGTATATAACTTATTCAAAATTTAAGCTGTTCTCTGAATATCATCTCTATAGAGTTTGTTTTTTCCAATCCTTTTTCTTCAGCTCTAATGTCCCTGAGTTCTAATGTCCCATTATCTAGAAAAATTACCCTTTTCTTTTTAATTATGTCTAATACATTGTGTTTTAGTTAGTAATCAATTTATATATGAAAATCACATAAAGTTAACATTATCAGTAGATCATACCACAATTAGGAAACTCAGAAAATATAGTTTTGCATAGATGCCAATGTATTGTAGTACTTACTCAGTTCTGACATGGTTTATAATTTGAGCATAAACAAGCATATACAAGCAATATAAGTTAACTGGAAAATTGATGTGATGATGATTATTATTCCAAACCTTCCATGTAAATAACACTCTCGAAAAATAAAAGATTTCTTTTTGCTAAATATTTGTAACTGTAATTAAGCCAAAGTAATAAATATGTATTTTTCTTTTTCTTTCATTTGGCCTATATATAACAATGACTTTACATTAAATTACATTAGCTGCCAAGGTTAGAATGAAATACCTTGAATACCTGAATTACAATTTTGGAAATAGCAGTAGCAATAGTACTTAGACTTCTATACCACTTCATAGTGCTTTACAACACTCTTTAAGTGGTTTACAGAGTCAGCATATTTCCCCCAACAATCTGAGTTCTCATTTTACCAACTTGGGAAGGATGGAAGGCTGAGTCAACCTTGAGCTGGTCAGGATCAAACTGCTGGCAGTGAGCAGTGAGTTAGCCTGCAATACTGCATTCTAACCACTGCATCACCGTGGCTCATCTATTTCTCTGGGCCTCTCAAATGGGAAAAGGCCAGCATACAGAATGAATGAATGAATGAATGAACATATTTTTCTGCTATTCTATTGATTTATTAGTTGGATTTATGTTCTGCCTTTTGTGCAGAAACTCAAGGCCGCATGCTTAGCACACCTTCTTATTTTTCCCAACAATAACAACCCTGGGAAGGAGACTGGACTGAGGCAATGAGAAATATTTGCTTTCAAATATTATTTGTTCCAATATCAGAAAAGGAATCCATTCATAGGATTAACTAAGATTTATTGAAATAAGCTGAGAACCTAAACCTGAATTTTAAGGATCTCTGCTTGAACAAAGCATGCACTAATCAATAAAAAATAATGATCAAGATAGACAGTTACTATGTCCTCCATATCTACAGACATTAAACAATGGGAATGAATAGAAATTCTACTTTTTCCTATCATAAAAGCTCGGAAGAATTCTTCAAATGTATCGTAGGGAGGATAAGGACTGAAGTTGTTTGAAAAGTGGAAAAAAGATGCAGCAACATCTTTTGGATTTCGAATCAGCAGCAGTACCTAAAAACCCAAAAAACATTAGAATAACAAATGAGAAAGCATAGATTATATCTCTACAATGCACCAGATTCTCTGAAAATTATCCCAAACTACCTTTTATGACTGAAATCTTATGTGCACTTGCCTGGGTGAATACCTGAATCACATCCAGTTCCTGATATTTTACTGTATATTAATGCAAAGATATTAGGGAACAGAATAGCCTAGTGAGACAATATATTGCCAGATTAGGTGGGTGGGTGGCAGGATTAGAAGTTTTTGAAAGTAGCTTGCCACCTTCTTATTGGGGCTGACCGGCCCAAAGTCACCCAACTAGTTTTATATTTCATTTAATGAAATGAAATATAGTGTTGGGTGGGGGTGGACGAAGGGAGGCTCTGCCAATCTCATTTTACACATGTTGTACTGTGAAAATAAATGTAATAATTTTTTTAGCCCTATACCTTAACTACTACTCCAAACTGACTATCTACATTAGTATAGAATCTCCATTTCTAATTTATTTACAGTTGCTTCCCCAAATGATGTCTCTGAACTACTAAAGGGCAGAGCTTTAATTTGGAAACAGTCATATCCTGAAAATACAATTAAGTTGCTCTGTAGTAATTACAATTATCCAAATTTAAAGGACTTATCAATAAATAGCTATAGTCAACAGAGCTACTTATTATTATGGTGCATAATGATTATTATATTAAGTGTGGTCTTGCTTATTTTTTTCTTAATTGTTTTATTGTTCAAGACTAACTTTATCCATAAAGAAATACTCATTGAATTTTATCAATATTGTTACAATTTTAGGGCATTAAATCAGCTACTTACTTTGGCTTTGTTCTTGAAAATAGATGGTGGAAATCTATCAGGACGGAGATGAGTAAACATCACTCTCCTGGAAGGATAAGTATCCATCCTCTTCAATAAATAAATAAATAAATAAATAAATAAATAAATAAATAAATAAATAAATAAATAAAATAATCAGCTCCCAGGATTCCCTAGCCAGCATGAGAAACACCAGATTGGACAATTCAGGTCCAAAATCTCCAGTTTTCCCACTGAATTCTACAACTGAGAGTAACACATTACTGGTCAGTGGATTGGTTAATATGTCAATCAAGGTCAATTTTACCTCTTCAAAGACAGACATACAGAATCAACCTGGCTATCTCTGATCAAACATAGTCTGACTGACTTTACTCTAGGGAGAATCTGCATACTCAATATTTTACCTCCTTTGCTCTTTTAATCTCATGAAAATTGACCATGACTGAGTAGGCAGGATTTGTCAGTCTGCATAATTAATACTAACCTTATACTTTTCAGTATCTCCTATTTCGAGATAGGGAAATTCTGCTAGGAGAAGTTTTTCATTCAGCTTCTCTGGTTCATATTTCTTTGCAGATGTTATTACTAAATCGGTAACAATCTGGCCAACCCAGTTGGTACCTGAAAGGGGAAAAAAACAAAATTAAATACACTTATACTATGTACTTGTATAGTAAAAGCATAAAACCAGTACCAAACAATTTACAATTGAAAGCCTGTGAAAAACTGTAGGAACTGAACACAATGTTTGGCAAGCATTTTATAGCCCAGAACTCACATAGCACTTTTCTGTTTGTCAGATAGTGGCCCTCTGACAATCTTCAGAAAGGTTTCTTTCTTTACTTTAACACCTGAACAGATCTATACTGGGAGAGATCTTCCCTCTTAGGCCTCAATGCTAACCAGAGGTGGGATTCAAATTTTTTAACAACCAGTTCTGTGGGCGTGGCTTAGTTGGTGGGCGTGGCTTAGTGGTCATGTTATTGGCTGGGCGTGGCCAACTCAATATCACTCACATCGAGGCACGCATCTCCTTGCCTGGCCTCTCATGACTGTGGGGATGCTGCAACAGTCATAAGTTTTGAAAAATGGTCATAAGTCACTTTTTTCAGTGCCATTGTAACTTTGAATGGTCACTCCATACAAGCAAAGTACCAGCAAAGGAGAGGAAAAAAACTCCAGAGACATTCCAGAGAGAGGAAGTCTAGTCCTTCCAAGAATGCAATAAGGGTTAATGGAGAGGCAGTTTCTATGAGCAACCTCAGAATGTTTCCTTCCTGCCTTCCTTACAGGATTAGGCCAGTAATTTCTTCTAACAACTGGTTCTCCGAACTGCTTAGAATGTTAACAACCTGTTCTAGAGAATAGGTGTGAACTGGTAGAATCCTACCCCTGTGGTGCTAACCTTTCAGCATATGCATCACAAGATCAAAATTTCTTGCAATTAAACTCCTTGTTTAGTGACTGAGTTCCATTCCAGTACACATATGAGAGAGAGAGAGAGAGAGAGAGAGAGACTTGCTGCTGCCATCTTATTCAGATAAAATTCTCTTATACAGCTACACCAATGTTATTCTCACTCCAGCATGCGTTGTTGCCAGGTGCATACTATTTGGTTGTAAGTGCATGCATTGGTTGTAAAATAAATTTAGCATTTACTATTTATTGCCACAATATTTACAAATAGACATGAGAGTTGGAAAAAAAACTCAAGAGAATTGGGAAAAAAGGAGAAGCTTTATTAAGCTTACCTAACCACTACACTTTTCACCAATTGCATTTTCCGAATGCTTTTATAAAGTATAACCTCTCTACAATGCATTGGAGTAATCAAAACAGGAAATAACCAAGGCATGAATAATTGTTGCCAAATTCCCCTGGCTTTTAAAAGGTGATGGTATTTGTCCACATAATGCCAACTGTCATAGAATCACAAGCAATTGGGCTTTCTGTATGACTTTTGTGTTTATTAAACACTGCTTATTAAAAATGAATTTATCAAGCCTGCATAAATAATGCCAACCTTACATGTTTCAGTATCTCCTGTTTCAAGATATGGAAGTTATGCTGGAAGAAGCTTTAGAACTTAGAACTCTCAAAAAACTAATTTTGCAGACTGAGCACTAGAGATCAAAGAAAGCATTGAAATAAAACACTTCTGCTTTGACAGAGTGGACACATCTCTTGCAAGGCAGTCATTTCTCAAGGTTATTTTGAAAATGGTTCTTAATTGCTTCTGCTGGATGTTTATTTATTTGATGTGCTTTAGCTTGCTCCTTCCTGCTTTACGCTGTGGTTCAATGAGAAGGCCTGGATACATCAATGATGCCATTAAGATGGCACTTGGAAAGCAAAGCAGAAAATAAAAATAGATCATCATTTCTGTTTACCTTATACAGGTAAGGTGAAAGCTACATCAGGGAAAAGATAAAGACCTTCAGGTTTAGAACTGCTAGTGTCATTAAACTTTTGTAGCTAAAATGTTAGCAATATAGAATCATAACAAGTGTGGCTTATATTCAATTGATCAATTTGAAATCTTCTGTACATGACATGGTTTCTCTCTATAGATGTAATGATAGTTTTGTTTCCACAGTGCAACTTCAGAGATTAAATAGATAATATTGAGGTCCCAAATTGCTCAGGTAATGGCAGAAAACAGGAAACTACAGATATGCGAAGATGTGTTTCATATTATTCCTGAAGTTTCCATTTAAGATAACAGATAACAGATAATCAGAGTTGGAAGGGACCCTGTAGGTCATCTAGTCCAAACCCCCACCCAAGTGGGAGACCCTACACCATTTCTGACAAATGGCAGTCTAATCTCTTCTTGATAGTCTCAAGTGATGGCGCTCCCACAACTTCGGAGGGCAAGCTGTTCTATTGGTTAATCGTTCTCCCTGTCAGAAAGTTTCTCCTGATTTCCAGGTTAAATCTCTCCTTGTTCAGTTTCCATCCATTATTCCTTGTCTGGCCTACGGGCATTTTAGAAAATAGCTTGACCCCTTCCTCCCTGTGGCAGCCCCTCAAATATTGGAAGACTGCTATCATGTCTCCCCTGGTCCTTCTCTTCACTAGACTAGCCAGGCCTAGTTCCTGCAACCGTTCTTCATATGTTTTAGTCTCCAGTCCCCTAATCATCCTGGTTGCTCTCTCTGTACTTTTTCTAGAGACTCAACATCTTTTTGATAATGTGGTGAGCTAAACTGAATGCAGTACTCTAGGTGTGGTCTTACTAAGGCTTTATAGAGTGGTATTAGTACTTCCCTTGATCTTGACTGTATCCCTCTGTTAATACAATTTAGGATTGCATTAGCTTTTTTGGCGGCGGCTGCACACTGGTGGCTCATATTTAGCTGGTTGTCCACTAAGACTCCAAGATCCCTCTCACAGTTACTGCTATTGAGCCTGGTTTCACCCAATCTATATGTGTACTTTTGGTTTTTCTTGCCTAAGTGTAGGACTTTACTTTTCTCTACATTGAATTTCATTTTGTTAGATACGGCCCAGTGTTCTAGTCTATTAAGATCCATCTGGATCTTGAGCCTATCTTCTTGGGTGTTAGCTATTCCTGCCAGCTTAATATCATCCGCAAATTTGGTAAGTTCCCCTTCTATTCCCTCATCTAAGTTGTTAATGAATATATTGAAGAATACTGTGCCTAAGACGGAACCTTATGGCACCCCACTGCTTACTACCCTCCATGTAGACTTAGACCCATTAAGGACTACTCATTGACACCCTTAGCCTTGATGTACCCTATAACAGGGCTCTCCAACTTTGGCCACTTGAAGCCTGGTGGACTTCAACTCCCAGAAATCCCCAGCCAGCTTTTTCATCACTATTTCAACTATTTTCATCACTATTTCAAGTAAAATCTAATAGAGCATGGCTTTTTAAAAATATTTATCAAAAGCCTAGAGTCACCTTTGTAGGTATAAGAAAAAACAAACAAACACACTCACTCACCAGATTTGCAGTATCCTGCCAGAAGTACATCATCATTCCTAGCTTGGAAGGCCTCCAAAGCTTTGAACTGCT